TCATTTTTATAGAAATTTGGCAGGTACAAGGCACAAGATACCACATAGATCTCAACAAATTTCCCTAGGATTTAACCCAGGACTAGGGAAGTGGAGGCTGATTAGTGAGAGCTGTAATTTTTGATAGGTTAAATAGGAATTCAATAGCAGAGAGCAAGTTTGGAGCCTCATTTCCAGCTGGAACTCTGCAAAGTGTCCCTATAACCACGTTGAGACATTTTGGAAAAACATCCTAAATATTTGTACATACACATAAACCACAGAATATGCCTTAACTCCCATATAATCTGAGATAGCAGTATGAGTGCTGAGAAGCTTGTAATGGGGCCATTGGGGCCGTTGTAGTGAAGAGGATGATTACTGCATAGGTGAAGCGATACAGTAAAACCAGCATCTGAATGGAGACACGGCAGAATCTTAAAAAGACATTCCACTAAAAGCATAAATAAATCCAAGTAAGCCAAGGAAGGACACTGGTTTCAGTGGTGAGAAACCAAGCCACCAACTAAACCAGCTTGGTCATTGAGCGGTAACTCTGGGGAGACCAGAATCTAAAATTGAGACATTGGGTAGAACTGGAGGTCAGAGGCAGCCTCCTGACAGAGGTTCTTGCCTCCTTATCAAAACACCTTGGGAGCTTCCTTGGTTAAGTTTCAGCAGCCACTGCAGCACCAGTTCTATCCCCAGGTAGGGAGCCACCCTCTTCTGTCTCACCTGCTGCTCCCGTTGGCAGTGTATTTCAGTAGATAAGCCTGGTTTGTTGAATCCTCACCCCCACACCTCTGGCCTATACGCCAGCTCTTGTATGCATAAATAAATGTTTTTTTAAAAAAGATTTGTTTATGCATCCAGATCTGGGGCAGGGGCAGTGAAAGGATTCACCAGACACAGTGGGGAGCAGAGCAGGCTGACTGACAAAGTACACTGCTGAGGGCAACAGCGGGCTGGTCAGGAGAGGTCTACGGCACCATGTGGATCACCTCTGGGGCATGCAGGGATCGAACTCATGCTGAAGTGGCTTTAGCTTCTTAGTGCTGTGCTTTAACCGCTGCACCACTAGGGAGGGGCCTGTTTGTTTTTATTTTTTCTCTTGATTTTATTGAGATATAAAATACTGCACTATGTAAGTCTAAGATACAGTGTATGGAAAGTGTATGGAAGAGAATTATTTGGATTCTAAAAAGTCATGGGATGAATTATAACCTTTAGTTAACACAGCACCATTTCTGCTTTCTAATAATACCCAGTTCTTTTTGGAGTTTTTCTTGCCCAGTTGTTTGTACACTTGATGAGATAGAAATTCTAGCCCTCAGAGATTACGTACCACCCAAGAGGGTGGGAATTTGATCCAGACTTGGCCAATCAAATTCTTTGGGAATTTGACTCTTAAGTAAAATGACGCAAGTAAATTGCAATGACTGTAGTAAACGTTTTCAGCAGCACCACTAGAGGAGAACTTTGGACAGATTCTATTCTTAATACTCTCTAAAACTGCCAGATTTCTAACTACAGGTCTAAAATCCCAGTGTTCCCATCCATTATGTGAGTTTTTTTGTTGTTTTTATTTATGCATACAAGAACTGAGGTACAGGCCAGAAGTGCAGGGGGTTAAAGGATTCACCAGAGACAGTGGGGAGCAGAACAGGCAGATCTACTAAAATAAATTCTGAGGGGAGCAGCAGACAAGACAAAAGGTCTGCTGCGCCATGTGGGTCACCTCCCTGGCTAGGGATCAAACTCATACTGCAGTGGCTACATATAACTTCATAGTGCTGCACTGTAACCACCACCAGGGAGGACCTCTTTTCTGCCAGTCTTTCTTGGAATTTTAGTCTATGATAATTTTTGAAAAATGAAGTTATTTTTAATAATAATTGAGATAGCCTACATTCATAAAACCCATTTTACTTCTCTACTTAATTTCTTTGGCAGGTAAGAAACTATAGACTCCTCTCTAGCTATATTGATTGTCCATATTTGGTTCTAGTCAACTTTTACAACTTTTCCTCAAGAAAACCAGTTAATCCACTAGTTCATTAAGTACCTACCAGAGCCTATCAAGACAGAAAATAGCAGAGGTAACAATGATTATTGTCAATGCTTGACATTTATTTTATTTTGAATCATAGGTCTCTTGTTGATTGAAATAATCAAACTTTAATACTGTTTAGGAGGGGGGAAATGATAAGGAGACATCATTGAATATGCTTCCCTCCTTTGTCAACATTTAAAATACAAGTTTGGAGACTTGATATATTTAGAGATCATATTAATAGATGACCTATAGGGTAGATCTTCTACAAAGATTTTCAAACTAAACATACACAGCTAGCATGTTCCTTTTTCTCTCCTCTCTGTGGACATAGTGCCTATAATGGTAGAGACAGTGTACAAAGAAAAAATCACATGCTAGGGCTACTGAGACAGAAATGGGGAAGCCTAGTTACTTGCTACATTCACAAATAGCCTCAACAGCCCTAGAGTGCCTACCTTGTATTTTTTTAATATTTATTTATTTAAGCATACAAGAACTGGCATGTAAGCCAGAGGTGTGTGGGTGAGAGGATTTACCAGAAAAGAGTGGGGAGAACAATTACATTCACCGAAATATACTGCTGTGGGATGCAGCAAGGTAAGACAGGAGAGGTCTGCTGCACCATGTGGATTAGTCAAACTTGTGCTACTGATAGCTTGATAGTGCAATCTTAACCTCTGTGCCACCAGGGAGGTCCCTACTTCCTAATTCTTATATGAGAAAAATAATCCCCTTTGTGTTTTGTCTCTGTAGTCTGGTTTTCAGTTGCTGGAAGCACAGATACCACAAATAGTTAATTTGTCCGCCTTGCCCTCAGAATCATGGCAGACACCATGTCTGCATTTGCTATCAGTGTAAGATAGGAAGTTTTCATAGCAAGTAATATAACCCCAAATCTAAACTCCTTTAAACAATAAATTTTAATAATTCACAAAACTGGAGTTCTAAGAGTACAACAGATTTAAGAGTTGGGGTAAAAAAAAAAAAAGAGTTTGGGTAATCCCCTTACTCCAGCTCTCTCATGTATTGTCTTCATTTGCAGGTTGCCATCAAAATCATTGTAACAATTTCAAGCTTCTATGCAAGCTCAACTATGTCCAGAGGGAGAGTGAATCACATCTTGAAATTCCCCTAAAAAGCTTTCTGGAAGCATTCTGTGTATCTATCCTTGTCTGTCAACTGAAGTAAATTTGGGAACATTCACCATTCTTTTCCAGTTCCTGGCCAGAGGGTGATAGAACTCTAGACAGACCAGACTACTCCTGGAGCCAAGGATGCCGAATTTCAAGGACTGTGGCTAAGGGGAAAGGATTCTTGAACCTAAGGATTTTATTGGGAAAGAAGGTTAAAAAAACACTTTCTGTATTCCCAGTATTTTGCAGACATAAACACACACACACAGTTTGTTTTATCTCAACAATAAGTTCCTTGAGAGACAAATGTGTTACTTTTTTGCTTATACCACTTTTAGTGTCTAACTCAATATCCCAAAAAAGAGTGGGAATTCAAGTTCATTTTTTTTTTTCTATCAGAAAATTCAGTGAGAGAAAATGGCCTAAATTAGTAGCTCTTGGATCTTGTGTAGGTTGCTAGATTTTCTTGCTAGTCAGTTTCTTTGACTCTCAACACTTAGAAGTGCTAGGGAGGACAGGAAAAATCCAGAGTCGACAGATTTACATTTGTTCAACAACTGTATTAGGCCTCTTGCCTAAGGACTTTTTCTGGAAAAACAAATCATTGTGCTGAGTCCTTAAAGTGGAAAACTTACCAAAAAAGGAAACTGTCGGGATAAAGATGTTCTGCTTTTCTAGGGGCACAGCTGTCACTTATCCAAATCCTCCAAAAATTACAAGATTCTTAACCGTCAACGACTAGTGGTGATTACTGATGGTTATTTTCAATAATTGGGTTTCAAAGGTGTGACCATTTTATATTATTCATGTAATTTATATTCATGGAGGTGAAGGAGAAAAAAACACATGCTTCTATAAAATGTCATCACTAGGTAAATTTATAACATCACTAAATTGACTCCTGTCCTCTCCTAATTCTATTAAAATATCTTAAAAGTTTTGGGCTAAGGACTGATACTGATTTATTTCATTTATTAATGTCTCTGATTACAGCCGGGTCATTGACAAGTACAATGCATGGCACTAGTGAGCTTCGTTCCTAGAAAGTGCCCTGGACTTGGGGATCAGATAAAAATGTTTTAATCTCAGCCCAAACCACTGCTGTATGCAGAGGTTAATCACCGAACCACTCTGCTTCGTTTGCAATAAGGGGATTGCAACTGTCACTTTGGTCACCAAAGCTAAATTTACTGGATCTAAAGCTAGATCCAGTAAATACAATTACAGGTAAACAATGTTAATTTAAACTTGTTCCCTCGTCCATTTCTCCAAAGGGCCTAATTAATACTAAACGTTTACTCCGCCTCTACATGCACCAGAAATCTTAGAGCAAAAAGGGGCCTTCTGGGGTGTGGGGTGGGATGGAAAGATCACTGCCACAGGGCTCGCCGCGGCGTACGGACCCAGATGTGGAGTGTCACGGAAGGCGTTCGGTATAGACTTCGCCCTTCCGTGCAAGCAGAGGGACTAGCCCAGAGGGCAACCACAACCCGGGGGTCGGAGTCCTGGAGACCGCTACGGCAGAGCCGCAGCGCCCCCTGCCCGCAGAGATGGGGGGAGCAGGGTGAAAATGGCGGAGGCGCTGGCTTGGGAGTGGGCAAGCACTGGCTTGCGCGCGCCAGACCCCTGCAGATAATTTCCGGACCCTCGGAACCAGCCGGAAGCGGGGCCCAGGCGCGTCCGGGCGCGTCCGGGCGCGAGTGGGCGGGGCCGTTCTCCCGGAAGTGCCTGCGGGTTTGGCTGGGCTTGGCTGGGCTTGGCTGGGCTTGGCTGGGCTCGCGGCGCGGCCGACTCCCGGCATCCCCTTCTAGGAGGTGGGAGGGCGCGGGAGGGAGCTCCCGGCCTAGCCACTCTAGCGGTTCAGGACCCTCCCCTACGCTATCCCTCGGAGGGCAGGAAGGAGGAGGTGTTGGGGTTGATCCCCCGACGTGTACCGCCAAAGAGAGTTTGACTAGCCCGCGGGCAAAAACTTACCAGACTTAGAGAGAAGGGCGGGATGGACGGGCCGCTCAGTCCCCGGGAGTCTGCAAAATTCATCGCGGAAAACAGTCGAGGGGTGTTCATTGACGGCAGAGGCGTGCGGCGGGTAGCCGAGCTACTGCTCCCGCGGGTCTCGGGCCCGGAGCTGCGCGTGGAGGGCTGGAAGGCCCTGCACGAACTGAACCCCAGAGCGGCCGACGAGGCCGCGGTCAACTGGGTATTCGTGATAGACACGCTCAATTTCTCCTTCTGGTCGGAGCATGCCGACCGCAAATGTCTGGTGGGGTACCGGGGGAAAATGTACAGCGGCTACTGGTCTCTCTGCGCCGCGGTCAACCGAGCCCTGGACGAAGGTTTGTGGCCCTTCAGCTGGTTAGATCCTGCGGCCTTGCAGGTTTCGGTTTACTGGGAGGTCCCACGGAGTATGGGAGTTGGACTACAGCAATTAATAGGGGAACTTGAAGTTCTTTCTTGCCAGTCCCTCTGCTTAAAACAAGGGTAAGAAGCTGACATTTAATCCTGTTCAGTGAGAAATGATCCTAGTATTATTACGGCGTAAAAATAAGTCAGTCTTCTAGAGAACTGCTCTTTGAGGACGCCGGAGATGCAAAGAGACAGATTTCAAAGGCAAAATACATCAAATTAGCATAACAATTGTTAGGGAAAGAGTGGATAAATACAAGCAAATAGAAAAGGGATTCTGCTTCTGATTTTTTTATGACCCATTTTTAGCGCAGTCTAGTAACAAGTATTAGGTTTCATATCAATTGCGTGTTGTAACAGCAAGGATCTAATGAATATGAGTTTGACTTTTTCCTCTGGATTTTGTTTTCTCCCTAAGGGATACCAATAACTAGTGCTTCATACTATGCCACAGTGACTCTGGATCAGGTTCGTCATATATTCCGTTCTGACACAGACGTTGCCATGCCTTTGATAGATGAGAGGCATAGGATTCTCAATGAAACTGGGAAAATTCTGCTTGAGAAGTTTGAAGGCTCTTTTCTTAATTGTGTCCGTAAAAGTGAAAAAAGCGCACAGAAGCTAATGCACCTAGTAGTTGAAAATTTTCCTTCTTACAGAGATGTGACTGAGTTTGAGGTGAGTTGCTTCTGTTGGGGATTGGAGAATTCTTAGCTATCCTTTCTTTACTTTTTCATTTCCAGAACTACTTTGAGAATAAAAACTTTCAAAGTTATTTCCCTATGGACAGGGAATAGTGACAAAATTGTTGTGTTTCAAAGACATTACTTTCATAATTCTAATTAAAGTCCCTTTTATTCTTTGGTCCTTTCAATTTCAAACCTTAAAAACGACCTTCATTCAGCGTGATGATATCACTTCAGAAAAATTCACTGGATGAAAATCAGCTAAATTCTCTAGCTAAATTTTTTCTGTAGGATTCTAATGTATGTATTTCTTCTAATGTATGCTTTCTTTCTCATACACAATGTACTTCAGCTATGTTATTTGCTTTATGGTACACAAAAATAGTAATAGATATTTTTTAAATGGTGAACATTTTGTATACCTTCCCAGTGTACAGCTGGATTTTACTTTTAAACATTTTTTAGAAATACTTGTCACTATATATTTTAAGTATGATAAGATTGGAAGCAACTTCAGAGAAGTCACATAATCTAAATCTATTGTTTGAAATGAGTTGAAATTTTATAGCAATCCTTTGTGATCACACACAGTTCAGCAACTTAAATTAATGATGTTAAATTGCCTTTTGTGACTTACAAGGTGTTTGTGCATACAGTGTTGTTTGAGCCACAAAATAGCCCTATGACCTAAGGACTGGAGCATTATTGTCCTGTTTGCAGACGAGAAACCAAAATCTGAAAGAAAAATTTAATAGCTTAATGTAGGTCATTTTGTCAAGAAATAACCACTTTTTTGATTTTACTATAAAATGAGAGCTGTGATTCTGGTGATTAAGATTTTTAATTGCAAGTGGCACATAGCTATCCAACTGAAAAATCATAAGCTGAAAGAATTTTTGGATGGGTATCAGAAATACTTGGATCTGTGACACAGTGTCATCAGGATGCAGTCTTTCCTCTTTGCTTTTGTTGGCTCTTTTTTTCTCTTACTGCAGACTTATTTTCTCCATGAGTTCTGCGTCATTTGTTTGAGATTCTCTCAATTCCATTTCTAAAACTGGGCAAGAACATGACTGAACATGGATTATGACTGGTGTGCCTATGGAGTGTGGGTGGGGCAGAGGCAGTTCCTAGAAAAAATGCCCTAGACTGTTGTTGAATTTCATACAGTTTTGACCAGCTTGCTGTTGTAAAGGTTATGTTGAGAATTTGATTTACCTTTGTCTATAAGATATATAACTTCAGCATTGTTTTTCAAGAAATTATAGATCAAGTTCATTGGCTCATCATGTAGGCCATCCAGATATATAAAGTAGTGTGTATAGCCAGTGTAGAAATCAGTCTGCCCATCTCATGATTAATCCAAGTATTAGGGCCTCCTAGGTGGCACAATGGGTTAAAGTGCAGCTCTATGAGGCTATTTTCAGCCACTGCAGCATGAGTTCAATCCCTGGCCAGGGAGGTAACCCAACAGGGCGCAGCACACCTCTCTTGTCTCACCCACTGCTCAACAGTCTATTTCAGTCAGTCTGTCTCTTCTGCTCCCCACTCTGTCTCTGGTGAGTCGCTCAACACTTCCTGTACCTCTGGCTTCTACCCCAACTCCTATATGCATAAATAAATCTTTGGAAAAAAAAAAAGGAATTCATGCAGTCAAGAACTGACACAGTTGCAGTGGAAGGGTTAAGATTATATTTAACATCAGCTTGGAAGTGGTTTGTTTGCTTTAAGTTATGAGCTTAATTTTTGTAGAAGAAAGGGATAAAAAAATTTAGGTTATAATATTTAGTAAGCATTTGTTGAATTTCAGTTTTATTTATAACTCAGTGAATGCTTTTGATTGAATTTGCTTAAAAGTGCAAAAGAATCTAAATTAGCTTTAAGGCTGATGAATCTTAGGATGGCATTAGTATCTGAAACAATTCCCATTATTGTACATTTTTCTCAAATGCATTTTTAGAAAAAAAATCCCAAAATGTTACAAAAATCATACTTTAGGGTCTCAGAATGGATAAAGGGGCATTTATGTGGTGGTGCATGGAAAACTAGACTTTCAATGGTGACCATGATATAGTGTATAGAGGTATCAAATAATGTTATACACTGTTCACTAAAAAAAACTTGATGTGTTCTTAAAGGAATGTTTTTCACTTACTTTTCTTATGAGGTTATTATTACTGTTACCCAACTGTACTTTATTTCTGTAATCCCTCTGTCTCCTAACATAATACTGGGTACCATATTACTGACATAATACTAATATATATAATGGGTGCTCAGTGCTTTGATTATTCAATTATTGTATTTCTATATAAAAGACACACAAATAATGAAAGCAGTACTTTGTACAGTTAATTCCAAATCTGGAGGAATTTTAATGAACTTTTGGAGTAGCTTTTGAAATCTACATAGAACATATTAACATGAAATATATCTTCTGATTCATATTGTAAGCTTTCTAATAACAAAAATAAAAGATATTAATTACAGAATTTGGGAAGTATAGGGAAGTAATTTCTATTCTACGAAGAGGTAACACCACTGTCAACAACTTGATCTTTTTCTCTGCATGCATGTGTTGAGTGTGTGTGTGTGTGTGTGTGTGCGTGCACATGTGTGTCTGTGTCACATGGAGGATGAGGGCCATGCTACAAAACACTTTTAGAATTTAACAAATTATGAATAACTTTCAATAAATATTCTTTCACAGCACAGTTATTTTTTTCATAGTGCTACTTTTTCACATTGTTCCACACTTGATGTGCAGTCTAATTATTTACTCACCACCATAACTGTGTTTGGTACAGTTTTGTTTTTTAGATTGAATGTTTTGTAATTATAAACAATACTGCATAATAGTTTAATTCCCATAACTATTTTTTTAATGGGTGCCTATTAGTGGAGTTGCTGAGTCACTGCATGGCCATGATCTCAGGCTTCTAACGCATAAAAATGGACAGTTCTCCACAAGGATGGTAACAGAGATGGTCAGCAGCAAAGGAGGGCGCTCTTTCCTAGCCCTTCATGACATGGTTATGTTACTAGTTACTATACTTTTTGATCTTTAATAGGTTGCATAAAAATAGTGAAAATTATTTTAATGTGTACTTATTTACTGAGATTATCCTTCATTTTTAGACGTTTATAAACTAATTAATGAAATGAGAAAATTTTATTTTGGATTGATTTATATTAGTGATTTCCCTATCAAATCAGTGAGGAAGCTTTAAAATCCAGATATAATTCCAAAACGCTAACCTGAAAGACTTTGGTCAATAGAGAAAAGAAGAAGGACTATTTTTTTTTAAACTCTGCAGCTGACTCTGATTTAGAGTATGCCCTAACCATGTATGAGTCCTGATCTGCTTCTTGTATGGCTAGAGTATCATATCTGACACTGATAAATATATATGAAAAATGAGGTTTTTTGATACTTTTATCAATAGCATTTTATGTTACTCTTAAGCATTTATAATTCTTAAACTTCTGATTTGTTCATGGTAAATTTGTTGAAGAAAATCAACTTACTGGGTAGAGGTTTTCTTTGATAATTATTTTAAAAGGTATTTTGATTTTTTTTCACTACAAACTAATATTATGAAACACAGCAGTTGTTATTTTGGGATTTACCTGTATTTTCAGTGTTAGCAGGTGGTATTTTAAATACAAAATTTGATTGCTAAAATCATTTGTATGTAAAACCATGTAAGCATATGCTGAAAATGTTTAATATGTTTTTAATTTACTTTGATTTCTCCGGGGAATCTTATATTATTTTTTTCATTTCAAGCGTATCATAATCTTATACTAACTGGCTACCATGGAAACCATGGTCATTGAGTTGACAATTTATATTTTGTTAAATACCAGATTTTGTTATATAACTCTGGTTTGCCTAAGTTTTTCCAGTTTGCTCTGTGAATATTATTAAAAATATTAGATGGGGGCCTCCCTGGTAGTGCAAGGGAGCCTGGTAAGTCTCAGCACTATGAAGCTATCAGCAGCCACTGCAGCACAGTTTGACCCCTGGCCAGGGAGCTGACCCACATGGCATGCCAGACCTGGCTTTCCCACTGCTCCCCTCAGTAGTGTATTTCGTCAGTCTTCCTGGTATGCTCCCCACTCTGTCTCTGATGAATCCTTTCACACCTACACCCCAATTCTTGTATGCATAAATAATTTTTAAAAAATCAGATAGTACTGCTATTATAATAAACAAAATGTAATAATTATGTTTGGTAATAGTTTTGTAAATTAAATTTTTTATCTTGCTGTTTAATAAACTAGACTTGAAATTAAAACCTAGTGATACTGTGTATGTGCAACTTAAGTAGAGAAAGGATTGCCACATTGTCATTTTGAAGGTTTTATTTATTTTGCATAGAAAAACTGGTGTGTAAGCCAGAGGTGTGAGGGGCTAGAGGATTCACGAACAGGCAGAACAGGCAGATTAACTGAAATACACTGCTAAGCGGAGCAGTGGGTGAAACGAGAAGTCTAGCGTGCCGTGTGGGTCAGCTCCGTGGCCAGTGATCCAACTCCTGCTGCAGTGGCTGTGGATAGCTTCATAGTGCTGAGACCTCACCCCTTTCACCACCAGGGAGGCTCCTGTAGAGTGTCTCTTATTTATGGTTGCTTGTTAATTTTGCTTTTTAATTTATTATATATAAATTGTATTTTATATGCCTTAAAAAATACGGGAAGTAAGTCTGGAGTGATAGAGGCAACTGACTATCCATTAGAACTTCCTTTTTTACCCCTGTAAAAGTTCTCTTAATTCTTAGCAATAGAGTAATGTAGGTTTTTTTAAATAGCACCCATAAAAGTCTCAAATCTCAAGTAACATTTATATTCTCTTCATTCACCAGGGGAAAAGAATTTCCTTTTACAAACGAGCCCAAATCCTGGTGGCGGATACATGGAGTGTTTTAGAGGGAAAAGGAGATGGCTGCTTTAAGGACATTTCCAGTATCACCATGTTTGCTGACTATAGATTACCTCAGATTCTTGCTCACCTGGGAGCACTGAAATACTCTGAGGAGCTATTGGAGAAACTTCACAAAGGTTTGCCACCTTAGTTAAGTCATTCTTTGTTATACTATCAATTATTAAGTCTAGTTTTTTTCACAAAAGGTCTTTGTTTAGAATGCACTATCTGTTGGTAAAAGCATATAGGAAGAAAAATACAAGAGCAATTCAACTATAGAGAAAATTACCCTTTTTTTTGTCTGTAGACTGGATATGTGGGAAATTAGACTATACGGACGTTATAACATAAGAACCTCCTAATAAATGAAATGAAACTTAAATCTGTGTTACATAAAGGTATGTAACACTGAGAGAGTTTGTCAGGTGTAGCATTTGTGTTAAGCAGAAGAATACACTACACTGGCCTTAAAGGGGAGCAGAGAGGTAATATGTGCTGGATTTTAAGTCACGAGGTTCCAAGACCTGCCCCTGGGTTGTCTTACACAAGTCACTTGTCATTGCATTCAGACTATTGACCCTCAAGAATGGAAACCTTATTTATGAGTATAGATAGTTATGTTTGACAGAAGAACTAAAGAGGATTTGTATGCTAACTTCTAAAGCAAAGTAAGGAAATGGAGGGACACAGTGTCAAGTGTCTGATATTTCAGCTGCCTCAGTGACCAGTGGCTAAGCACTAGGGAAGGTGGATGGTTGGTACCTATGGGACAGGGGCATCTCATTGGGTCATAGGGCCTCTTTGTTACAGTGAGGCTCTGTTAGCAAAGCTCTTGCATGACCTTGACTGGCATCTGAACTTGGATTCTGAAAAGGGTGTGAAATCACATGCACCTAGGGCGAACACTCTCAAGGGCCGTGTCTGAGCTCCAAGAATGTGAGAAAATAGGTCATGCGAGCAAGCAGCCATGTCTGAGTAAGATAGCAAAAGAGCATATCAAGAGAAGTGTCCAGGTGTGTGCGAGGGCTCGGCCATCTGGGGCTGGACAGGTGTTCCAAGAATTAGAACACTAGATATAGTTAGGTTAATTCAATACGCTGTTATAGCTGCAAAATAAAGACTCACTGCATGCTGGACATAGCAGTCATCCTTATGGTTTGTCCTTCATAGGCAAACCCTAGGTCTCAGGCCCACTAGAGGTCTACAAGGTTCTAAGTAAGTTGGTGCTTGTTGGTCAGAGGTCAAGTATAACCAGCATTTGTGTTTTGTTTGGCCCCTACAGGGCTTTAGGCAACTTTCAATTAGTTATCAATACTTGACAATTAGAATGTTTTACATGAAAATCAAACTTGGACTTCTTTTACAAAAATAGAGAATAGGGCCCTCCCTGGTGACACAAGGGGTCATCGCAGCATTATGAAGCTATCTGTGGCCACCGCAGAACAGATTCAATCCCCAGCCAAGGGATTGGTGCAGCAGACCTCTCCTGCTGCTCTCCTCAACAGTGTTTTTCAGTCAATCCACCTGTTTTCCCCACTCTGTCTCTGGTGAGTCCTCTTGCCTTCCCACCCCCCCCCAACCCCCAAACTTCTGACCTACAGCCCAGTTCTTGTATGCACAAATAAATAAATCTTCAAAAAAATAGGCAACTGTGGGGACATTGCGCCTACCTTTAGAAAGGGCAAGGCATGTATGTGCTTGAGCTCACCACAGTTTGCATCTGCCTGATCCTTCATAGGCAGCTGAGTTGATGAGCGCATCTTGTCTTAATGGCAAAGTACAGTCAGTACCCACTTTGTAAAACCAGACATGTCCTAAAGATGTGCACCAAATAAACTGGGTCCTCAGGGAGCTCTCAGCTTCATATTTAGGCAGCGCTGACTAAAGGATCCTGAATCCAAAGAACAATCATGGAATTCCTTGCTCCAGTTAACAACTTGATTTCCTAGGTGACCTCCCGGATGCACTTAGGGTTTCACCAAGACAATGTTCAGTTCTCAAATGGGGAAGGTGGTACTGATTTGTACTAGTAAAATCCTTCAAATTTGTACTAGTAAAGTCTTCCCTGGCATGAAATCTAATTTTAAACCCTTTAAAAAATAATTTGGGGCCCTCCCTGGTGGTGCAAGGGGTTGGGGCGCAGCACTGTGAAACAGTACAAAGCCACTTCCTGCACAAGTTCGATCCCCAACCTGGAAGGTGACTGGCATGGTGCAGCAGACCTCTCCTGACCCACCCACTGCTCCCGTCAGCCGTGTACTTCATCAGTCTGCCTGTTCTGCTCCCCACTCTGTCTCTGGTGAATCCTCTTACCACCCGTACCTCTGGCCTGTACCCCAGTTCTATACATGAATAAATATATTTTAAAAATAATTTGGAAGTTTTTGCTATCATATAAGCTTATGGTTATGGTATTATTTATTAGGGAGTTAGTTTGTTTAAGGTGCTATGTTAGCTCTGAGGAACATTGAAGCAACCAGACATGATCCCAACTCTTTTGAATTTAACTTGCAATTGTGATTTAAAACCTAAGTTTAGAAATGGTTTAAATTACCAAAAATAAAAAGAAGTATAAGGTTTATAATTTTATTTACATATAGTTTACGTTACTGTTCATTTCATTTTTTCCTTTACAATGTTTGCTTGCTTTTCTCAGGTGTACCCTCATAGAACTCCCTCCGCCCATTCACCTGTGCACTGTCACCACAGTCCTTGTGCGTTTTGACCCCTCTGTCCTCCTCTCCTGTAGAATGTCTGATTGATAGTTGTCTGTTTATTTTTGTTATGTTGTGTTGTGTTTTTTATTGTTATTATTTTCCCCTTGATCCCTTGTGTGTTTCCGCCTATAAGTGAAACTATCCAATATTTTTCTTTTTTCTTCTGACTTATTTCACTGAGCATAATCCCTTTTGGTTCCATCCATGCAGCTGCAAATGGCAATAATTTATCTTAAGATTTACAATCTTAAAATGAGTACTATCTAAGTACTCTTTTGTTCTGCAGTAAAGTTATGAGTAGATTTTATTTCATTGGTTCTTAATGTTTCTTGCTCTTTTTTTCCTTCTTCAGGGGAAATGTTCTCCTATGGAAGCAAGCAAGAGGTGGAAATCAGAGGGTGCTCACTTTGGTGTGTTGAGCTAATCCGGGATTGTCTTCTTGAGCTTATTGAGAAAAAAGGTGACAAAACTGGTGGAGAGATCAATTCCATTCTTCTTGATTATTACTTATGGGACTATGCACGTGACCATAGGGAAGATATGAAAGAAATTCCATTTCATCGTACACGTTGCATATATTATTGACTCAAAGTGTAAACAGATCCAAAGAAAACCCTTTGCATTTTTTAAATACAGTAATTAAGTTTTGTATTTGATTTCTCCCCTCAGGTATAGTTCCCCTGGTGATCACACACCCTACCACCTGTGACCTGTTATCACAATCCATTGTACTCTTGCGTGGCCTGATTTGGCTCCCCACCCCATGCTCTTTGCCTCAGATTTGTGGTCAGCTTTAAAGTTTGGTCTTTTTTCCTGTCCCTTTGTTTGGTTGTTCTAGATTCCACATACAAGTGGAACCATTTGGTATTTCTCTTTCTCCTTCTGGCTCACTTTGCTTAGAATAATTCCTTGCAGCTCCGTCCATGTCCTGCAGTCAGCATGAGTTTATCTTTTGATTGCTCACCAGTGTTCCATTGTGTATATCCACCACAGCTTCTTGATCCAGAGCCTTTGTGTTGTTCCCATATGTTAGCTATTGTAAACCATGCTGCTGTAAAAGTAGGAATGCAGGTTTCCTTTCAAATTACTGGATTTTTGGTGTCTTTTGGGTATATTCCTAGGAGTGGAATCACTGGATCTTATGGTAGATGCACTGGGGGTGTTTTGAGGAATCTACACCACTTTTCCGTAGTGGCTGGGCCAGTTTGCATTCCACCAGCGGTGTAAGAACCCCTCTGCATCTTTATATCACATAATTATTTGGACTATTTTGCTTTGCTGTTAAGAGGTTACAGGGACAAGACATTTTTTTGGTGGAGAACAACAAGAAAATTGATTACTCAAGACTCATTTAAAAAAAATTTCCCAATGTATCATTTTGTATCTCGAACTTTATTCTTTGGCAGCTTGTTTAGTTTTGACTGTTTTCCTCTTTTGTGGACAGAGTTTAGAGAAACAGTGAAGAGACTTGAGTGATTTCTTTAAGTCTCAGATTACTTAAGATCAATCATGGCTTATGTGACTAACCTTAAGTGCCAGTATTTTATCTATTCAGTTGGCATCTTATTTCAAGTTGTAGGAATTTTCTTTATACCTTAATCATTTGATATAAAAAGGGGGGGTGTTAAGTCTTTACTGTATGAATGCTGATACTTCTGTAAAAATCACGACAACTTTTTAAAAATTGTTTTTACTAGCAATGACAGTTTCGTACATGATGATTTTTCATTTAGGGTATCTGTTTAATGTTTATTTTTCTACAATGAAATTGAATAAATATTTTAAGAACCTTTCTAAAACATGGGTGGATTATTTTATTAAAACAGAATTTACCAATAAAATAATTGTTGTTTAATTATTGAGGTAACATGTTTTTTTTAATATTTTTTTACATCATTGTTAACTTTTGTACAATATTTGATTTCTCCCCGCATGTATAGTCCCCATAATTTTCCCATCACTGCGGCATCCATGACCATCATCATATCCCTTGTGCTCTCCCCTCCTGTTTTAACCCTTCTCTCTCCTCCTTCCAGAGCTAACATTTTATATCACTATGTAAGTTTTAGGAGTAAAGGTTCATAACAAATTATCATATATAATTTTTAAAGGTTTATAAAAAGTTTGATTATATTACACACCTCTCGTTACCTGCCAACTACTCATTTCACCTCACTCCTACCGTCCAATAGAATCTTGATTTTGATGTTTACTTTGAGTTGGCTGAATCAAAGACCTCCTTTCCCTAAGCTCTTTACTGCCATCTGCTGGAAGCTTGCCATGATAACCTTACAAATGACAACTATGACTGTGAATGGGGACCCTTGGAGTTGTGCATTGCACAATTGGTGCCATCAAAGTAGTGATCTGTATCTGCTAATGTGAGTCATGGGAAAGTGATCCCCTCCACAGTTCCAGAGGTAGGTCTGCGTTAATATGAATGGTTTATGGGCCCTCCCTGATGGTGCAGTGGGTTAAAGCACAACATATGATAAGCTATCGTAGCTACTGCAGCACAACTACTCCCTGGCCAGGGAGATAACCCACATGGTGACCCATATGGTGAGGCAGACCTTTCCTGACCTATTCTCTGCTCCCCTCAGCAATATATTTTGTCGGTCAGCCTGTTCTGCTCCCCACTCTGTCTCTGGTGAATCCTCTCACCCCTCGCTTCTCTAGCCTGTATCTGAGTTCTGTATGTATAAATAAATAAATCTTTTAAAAAATATATGAATGGTTTATTAGTGGTCATGATAATCCTCTCTGTCTGTGACTGCTTTAGAAATGGGTATATAAAGTCAAGCATCACTTCACAGTCATATGTTCTCAGAAATGTGTCATTAGGCAATTCTGTCATTGTGTAAATGGCAGAGTGTAAGTACAAAGACATAGATGGTATCACTTACTACACATCTGGCCTATATGAATCCCCTGTGGGGACAACCATTGTATATGCAGTCCCTTGATCTAAATAAATATCCTTAAGTGACACTAGAAGGTCTAATCTCATTCTAGCGAGTGACGGTGGGAGGAGGCTTCTGAAAAAGACTTCTTCACTTTAAGAGACATAGGAAAGGTCTTTTCATTGAACAATGTTCTGACTTAAGGTGACACCTGAAGCTGTATTAATTGTGGTGTGGAGCCAGCTCTGCTGCTCTGTTCAGCCTGTCTGAGCCCATCCTGGCCATTAACTTCACTCCTGAGATAATAAACATGACCTTATGTCATTCATTTCAGGGTAATTTTCTGTAACTTGTAATAGAAAATGTCATGATAGTTTTCAATAAACCCACTCGCCTGAGGCTTCAGGAAGCAGAAGGAAAATGGTCACTAGACTAGACCTCGGGCCATTTCTTACTTTTCCTTACCCAGCCCCTTTCTTCACCCTCTCATTTTTTCTTCTTTTATTCCAATTACACTGCCCCTCTTCATTTTTTTCCTTCTCCCCCTTCTCACTCTTTTTCCTCCTCCCATCTCTCCACCCCTCTCTCTTGCTTCCAGGCTCAGCAGGCTCTGACATTACTATTTTCCCTACAATTTATGTCATATAAAAGACAGGAAAGATGGCCCAGGGCTGTATGGTGCTCTTGCTGTGTGAGGCCCAGCTGTCTTTTTCTTATATGCCACTGAGCATAATCTGAACTCACGACCTAAGATGTCTGTTCTAATCTGAACAGCAAGTTTGAAGAAGCATGAAGTTGAATAGTGCAAGGATTGACAGGAAAGCTCTAACAAATGGCACATGCATTTTTACTTTCATCTCACAAGAATTTAGTCATGTGACCATGATTAACTGCCAAGGAAGCTAGGAAAGTAGTCTTTCTTGTGGGCACTGGGTAACAACTACATTACATAAAGTATGGATGGATATTGGGAAACACAAGTTTTTAGCACCAGTATTTGGACTTAACAGTTTTCCTATCTGAAACAATAAAATTTTAATAACATTTCAGTGGGATTATTGAAAACTACTAGTTGATATTTTCTATTACAATAATATTTTTAACAGATGCAGTAATTTTCCAGGTATGTTATTTCATTGTGGTTGAAAAATGGTAATGTTGTAATTCTAGTATTTTTGGGTTTGTGGGTCTCATGCAGGGACAACTCTCTTGATGGATTTCAGGGTAGTGTGGAGAACATAAAAAATAAGGAGCCAGCTTCTAATGTTCTGGAAAGAGATGAGAATGTCAAAATAGGATCTGAAAAATTTTGACTCTGCTGATTCATTCTTCATACTCAAAGGAAAGTAATGAAAATGCACAGCCTTTGGGACCCCCTGATCACAGCCCTCCATTCACAAAACACCTTTGTTTACTGACCAAGTTTCCTCCTACAGATTAAACACCACTTTTAAACCCTTGTTAATTTGTTTCCTTTAATAGCCTTTGCTTTGCAAGCAGTTCAGAAACAGTTTGGTTTTAAAATTATTTTAAATTTCACTAGTAATTCTTAGGTGGTCAATGTATAACTGAAGACATTTAGCCAGGGTACTATGCCAATGCCCTCCAAAATAAATAGGTTGTGTTAACTATTTGTTGCAGCTTGGGATCTCTCAGCAAGAGGATGATTGGGGGGAGGTCATAAGGAAGTGGGATTCTCTGTAAATTGGATATGGAAAAATGAGAAAATCTACCATCACTTATTTCAATGAAATCTTACAGGAGCTCAGACTAGAACAAGAAAAAAAACCCTGAAATTGGTAAAGGAGAAGCAGTTGCTCAAGTTTGAAAGGTATTTTTGCTCTGTTGGAAGAAATGACTCTGACAGATAGTGGCTGGTCAACAGAGAACAAATCTTTGCTTAAATGAAAATTCTGGGATGGCCCTCCCTGGTGGTGCAGCGGGTTAATGCACTGCAAAAGAAGCTTAAGCCACTTCCGCATGAGTTCCATCCCTGCCTGCCCAGGAGGAGATCCACATGTTGTGGCAGACCTCTCCTGACCCACCCGCTGCTCCCTTTAGCAGTGTACTTCGTTGATCTGCCTGTTCTGCTCCCCACTCTGTCCCTGGTCACT